TCACTGAGTTAGGTACATTCGCGACCAAGGGCTCAGATAGAGTACTGAGGATACATCACCTTTAGGGTTTCAGCTCAGTTCTCAGTTTCTTGCTTATCACCTGTAAAACGGTTATAGCTGAAGACCATTTTTATCGATGTAAGGTTACAGTTGACTGCATATAAGAACCCGGGAGCTTTGCCTTCTGATGGCCATCCCGGCATGTTTCAACTAAGATCTTTAAGGAGTTTTCTCCGTGGTACATGTACACGGCTGGCGAACAAAGATACATTTTTAATAATTTCTTGCATAGAACTATAACTGCCGACAAGAGAGAATGTGTAGTAATTTCTTGCATAGAATTATAACTGCCGACAAGAGAGAATACCTCATTCTCTCTTGCTGCCGAGCAGTTGTTAGGCATCTTACCCCGGAGGGGGGGGGTACTCCTGGGAATTCTTGGTGGGGTGTGTGCCGCCCGGTTCCTCAAATCCTGACCCGATTTCAGACCAAAAAATGTAATTTTCCACACCCGTTTTCCGACTAGACCTCTAAAATCCTTACCCGTTTTGAGACCTGGGGCCCGTTTCTCGAAAGTCCCGATAATTAACGGGCCCGGTAAGCTGTCTCCGTTTACATTGAAGATCGAGGTTGCAATAGTTTTGCGTTTAACATGATAAAACTATGAGTTAATGAAACAAAATGGAGTAGTTTGCTTGCCATGACCTGCGCTCTTATTCTTTATATTTCGGTTTGAATATTTGATTTCGGGCCCGAAAAGTTACCGGGACTTTCGAGAAACGGGCCCCAGGCCTTTATACAGAAATTATGTTATCATTACTTACCCGTTAGAGCGCAAAAAGAAATTATTCAAATCCATTTCGAATTAGCATATTTCTCTTTTTTTTCTTACTAATTTGGAATTGAAACGATAAATAAGTTCATACACTCCGTAGTTCCCTCGAAAACCATATCCGATTCCAGACCAAAATGGGCAAAGTGTATACCGGTTTCAGACCAAAACGGCGCAAAAACGGCGCCTACCAGATGGGGTGGCACATACCTATATGGCTTATATAAGGGACTACCCCCCTCCCGGTATCTTACCCGTGGGTTGAGGGCCCTTCAACAGCAGTCGTGTTGGTATTTCTTCAATTACTCAAATTAAAAAATGCAAATTCGAGAAGAATGCATCAACTCCCTCGAAACGAGCTCGGACCGCATTTGAAATGAAAACGTTTCACTGAGGCAAACTAAAAAAAATAAAGTACTCTAAAAAGCCATAACCTCAAGATTAATACCACATGCTACGTTAAGGCCGATTTACATTGCACAATTTTGGGGTTGCTTCATGCATAATATGTACCAACAAAGTGAATTATACCGTAAAACCAAACCTAGGAAAATTGCAAATCAGTTCTCGGTCTGATTCGTCTGTGTCTCTACCGCAAATTGTCGGAGAGGAAACGCTCAGTAAAGCCGAAAAGCTTTGATATTGATACTAAGAACGAGGAGACTTTAATGGCAGACTTGACCAACCAGCCTGGCGTTACAAAATAAATAGAGGTGCTTTCCGAGTCTTCGAGCAAAACAGGATGGCAGAAGCGCAGTTTAAAGTAATTTTATTGCCACCTGCTTAAGAAATTCACCAGTGTCCGGAATGTGGCAGGGCCTTCCGTGCTTATATTGGATTTATCAGTCACACCATAGAGGACACACCACACTAAATCCCTCTCCTCATAACGTTTTTGTTCACGACGGACGAAGAACAACAAAATGATTCGAGCCATGGGCTTTCTCATTAGACAGAGCCAGTAAGCCGTGTAACTCGGTCTTCATATCGGTATTTTTCATAACTTTCGTTAGCGTTCACCCACGGGACACAATGTAAACGGTGTTAATTCCATGCTTAGCTTTTCCTACTGGCCTCTTTTATGATTGGTTTTCTCTGTCCGATCCGCATTCTAGCGTTTATTTTATTGAAGTTATAGATATAACCCAATTGTCGAATCCTCAAAAGTACACTTTGTTTACCCTCCCTCCCCTCCCCCCCCCCCCCCCAACAAACAAAACATACACAAGCCTTATATTTTCATTGTTTTGTCGAACTAAGAACGCAAACAGTTAATTAGCTGCAT